ATGACCAACAAAACTATCGGAAGTTTATTTCCCTAAATGAAGAAACGGGTCTCAATCTTACTGTGAGACTGAAATGGCCAAATTTGAATGAAGCGCTTTTGAAGTGAGAAGGGTTAAGTATAGTTTGCTATGATTTCCCATTCCTGCTGACTATTTCAGAAGGTTTCAGGGGGCACTGATTGGCGAGGGAAAAACTTACTTCGTCCCGAAATCAAGGACAAATCCAGATGTCGACTTCAAAATGATCGATTACCATCCCTGTTAACTCGTACGCTGGTTCAAACACCTTGTAACGAAATATTGTGTGGTGATCCGCACTTTGCTCATATAGGGTCACAGTAATTCCAAACAAATCAACGCCCACGCACATACACATTCACACGAACCGTGTACACCCCGACTGGTTGAGAAACCTTTGCAGCCGAAGTGCTTAGCTTGGTGAACAATTCAACGGTTCATACTACAAGTCTTTGGAAAATCTATTCTTGCATGTGAACACCTTCCAGGCAACAGCTGAGTTGCATTTTTCATTCTGTTCTATCGTGGATGGCGGTCTATTGGTTGCGCCGGAATTAAGCCTTCCAGACTACGTGGTAAGGAGAAGATAGAGAACCCGGAATACGATCGTTTTGTCAAAGCTTCTGCGTGAATGTATAGGATGGCTGAATGGCCAAATATGGTCAGTCACTTGTCCAGTCAATGGCAACGTTCCTGTCGTGGGCAACTTCACATCCACTCCGGTGGTCGCATGCTGCTAAGCCGAGATTGGTAAGCTCTGCCAACGCACCTGCTTACCGGAACGTGTGATACCGGTGGTGACCTTGGGGATGCGTCCTTTTCTACAAGTGAACTTTTCGTGTCTGGAAGTCTTCCGACACGTTGGTAAGCCATACAGTATATGAAATGAGTTTACTAATCTTATACTCCTCAGGACTATTGGAAACTAATTTTCAGTGATGTACTCATGAGGAGTTTACTCAGTGGTAACCTTATCTTCGAAGATGGACTTATAAACAGTTTAATCGGTGGTAAGTCGCAGAAGAATCATCATGGTGATGGGACGCACTAAGCCTAAGGTCGCTAAAAATTCTTTGGCAGCTCACAACCTCTTTCAACCTGCCTGGGACTCATCGGGTGGACGCCGTCTTCGAATTTCAGTCAAGCTTGTTTCCTATTTGGACTGAGACTGGACACAACTCACGAAATACACCCATCTGCGTTGAACGAACGACTCAAGTAGATCTGGATCTTTATCTCATTTGGGGGTGTTTTTCCTGACGACCTTCCTTAGCCGACCATATCCTTTGTGAAAATTGAGGAAGCGATTTGTTTGAATAAGGAACTAGCTTGATCTCTAGGTAAAGGATTCGCAAGCCGGCTTTCTCAATATGCCGGGAAAAAGCAAGTTTATCGCTTAAGGTTTTCGAGGCCGAAGCCAATAAAATTGAGCTTAGTTGTCACACTACATAACTTTCCTGTCACAAGTGACCTACATACTATCCGTTGTCCAGTTACAAGCTAGTACGCGGCTGTGTTAGTATCTGTTTTCGTTTTTTGGCCAGACTATCTCCCATGAATTCTGAACTGGTCTATCATTTCAAAAGAGAGTTTCACACTCAATTGTCTGCATTTGTGAGACAAAGGCTACGTCATCAAGTGTTCTGGGCTCTTGCATCCATCGAGGCGGCCGCCTTGGAATGCCTCAAAGGATTTGTACTTCAGGTGAGCATCTGCGTATTTTTGCGTCTTACAAATTCAGAATCAATTTCACCATATGAAAGTAATATGAATTTGTGCACTGGATCTTAGTTACTATTTTAAGAGCAAACTATAAAAGTGATTGATCGATCACCGTGACTGAAAGTGATGTGCAGTAATTATAAGAAACTGTACGCGAGACAGGCGATATACGGCCGTCGTCGTTATCTTCACAGACAATAAAACTCCCGTTGATAGTAATGCCTCACTGCCGCAATCAAACTTTATTTTGAATGGGATACAGTGATTCCCCTTTTGGTTAATCGCCCTTTTGTAGAAATAGTAATTTAGTAATCCAAAGGTCAGTGATTTATCGAGTTTTCTATTAGTAAACAAGACCAGACACTGCTCTTCCACGGCCACCAGTATTGAAGGTTCCGCTTGACATATGAGCTTGGAGAAAAAAAACAGATTAGTCTTCGAGCTGATTGTTTTGTCTCTGACGATTACTGCAGACAGCTGAAAACCTCTAGGTTCATTTAACTAACCCATCTGAAAGACAGATTTGATTACTGGAATTGGGCGTAGAATATATCCAGCCATCATTATTTCTCCGGATACTTCTTGGAAAATTAAATAATTTGTGTTCTAAGACAACTTTGATTACTGTAAATGGGCCTAGAGTATATCTGATCATCAATATTTCTCCAGATAATTTTTTGAAAATTATATACTCTGTGTTCTAACCTGGCCTACTTTGATTTATCCGGTAAAACATCGAGATCAGGCTGATAGACTCATCCTAATCTATGACCTTTAGGTGCATCCACACATCAGGTGATTATTATCCTCGTCAAATGTGAAGTCACTGGTCAGCGATTTTACCCTGAAACCGGAGTGTGAACAAAATTGCGACGAAGAGTGATATGGAGGTTACTGGTTCGAACAAACACCGAACCTTTATGGGGTTTCAACAATCAAAGTTGGGACAGCTGATTAAGTTCGCACTGGCACAATCTTCGTAAAAGACGTCCACTTCTTCTCTTTCTCCTGGCTAACTATGATTAAGCGATTACATGAACCAAAACAATATCGACGCAGTGTGTAACAGGATATACCACCGAAGTAAGCAACAAGCAGTTCCATGAGATGAATCCCTGCTGATGGTTTCCAGGATATACTTCGATCTTCTGGGTGACTCCACTGTTCATAAAGACCACGCACCCCAATGTGTAGAAACGCTGTCAGGCGAACCAATCGCCAAATTACAGATCGAAATTCCCGCTGCAATAAATGAGGGTGAAACTAGAATGTTATACAATACTGGTCTTTTTCGGGTACGTACATCCCAACCTCCGCTTGCTTTTCGGTAGCCTTCCCAGTTAGTGAAATTTTACTGGCTAGCAAAATTCGCTGTTGCGTTTTTTTTGTATATCTGCTGTGGGGGGCGTGCCGTTGGCACAAGCAGTTTATTTAGCAGGAAGTGGTTATCCTGGACTGTCCATTCTTTCGACATGAGATCGTCTGGGCAACCAAACAATCCTTTGGGCAATTTTTATGCAAATAACTTTGACTACTGATAAATTTGATAAGTAGTAACAACCTCCGGTGGACAGTGGTACGAACAAGCCCCTACCATAGAAGTGCTGTGTAGGACATCGTCAAAACTTTGAAGTGTTCGAACGGTATCCTGTACCGTACCTCAACCATGTAATTCTGTAGACTGCATTAGTTCACACACCATATACGTTGACAATTATTTGACTTGAATGTAACCTCTTGCAAAAATGCTCATTTGCAAATTATACTGGTGTCAGCGAGCTACATAACTGAATCATGCGTTTATGGCATTCGCCAACTAAATTTGTTGCAAGGGGGCCGTCCGTTATATCGGTCGGCACGATGTTTGAGATATCGTAGCATAATTTTGCTAGTTCCTGCAGTTTCCACAATAAACCATGTATTGGGTCGAAAGAACGGACCAACTGGGCGTCTCAAAGTTACTTGAGTTAATCCGCAGAGCGAACCCATTTCTGGAACGGGCATTTTCCTTGTACAGTGCATTTGCTATCACGTATGTCCGGTGGCGTAACTGAATTTGCGTGAAAGACTTGTCACCATCGATCAAAAGTCAAAACTTTTGATAAATTTGGTTCTTAAGAATATGGTTCTCATGTCCCAGTTCCGCAAGTTCGCTCTGTCCCCCGACTATTGTTTTTCCATCGACTTCAATGAGGGGCGAGTGTTTGCCAGAGAGGCGAAATTTTGGACACGTTTGCGATCAAGTTCCAACTATCTACCGCGACAGAGTTTGCGAGGTGCTTGCATAACTAGTCTAGACTTGTCGTGTGACCTCAGTTATTCAAACGGAGAATCCTGTGGTCACGTGATAGACGTCAATGCTTCTCAGAACCCTTCGATTATGTAATTCAGACTGGGCTATTACCGTAATTACCAGACTGTGCTTCCGTCTCAATTCACCTTAACACTGGACTATTTATCGTTCGCCAAATCAAGCGGATCATAAGTTTCACTTTATTGCCCCCATCCACCTTTATATTACGCTTAGAGCTTTTGGTTGCCAAAAATGCTCGTACTCATCGAAAACAAGACCCTATATGTGTGCACATGTTGGGTCATTGGTGAGCAATTGTCCTGAAAACTTTCACAGCCCTTCCATGGCTATGTCAGATCGGTGACCGGGGTCCAATTTGGTCTCATCAATCGAGTATGCTGGGTTTTAATGGACTGCGAAATTCTAGTGATTAGCGGATGTTCAGATAGTGTTGATTCAGAGTACGAAAACGCCTTTGCTTTTGGTTGCCAAAAATGCTCGTACTCATCGAAAACAAGACCCTATATGTGTGCACATGTTGGGTCATTGGTGAGCAATTGTCCTGAAAACTTTCACAGCCCTTCCATGGCTATGTCAGATCGGTGACCGGGGTCCAATTTGGTCTCATCAATCGAGTATGCTGGGTTTTAATGGACTGCGAAATTCTAGTGATTAGTGCGCGTTTCCCCGCTTAGCACCGGAGATTGCGCTTGCCTAATAAGTCTCCAGAAGAGCTCTCGAAGAGTATTCAGCGGCCCAATGAGTAGTATATCACATCTACTGTCGGTCATACTTTCTAATGGGCTACATATATAACAAACCAGTTCCAGTTCATTCGGGAAACAAATTAGAATAGGGCTGAATGGGGGCGGAGATAAGTTTTGTGTAATGTTTTTACTCCTCAGTACTTTGAAAAAATAAAGGTGAGGAATATGTATTGCTCCTGGTTGGACCCCTGAGTAACCATCTCAGACACTACTGTGAATAACTTTGTGTTGCCCAAAGGGATATGGCAAAACCCAGAGATTGCACATTACGATGTCCTTTCTGATGAAGCCGCCCTATTGTGTTTTCATTCTACCTATCCATCCTCTTTTATTTTTGCGATTTACTTTTCAGGCTCATGATCTGTCAAATGACTTGCTGGTCACTCCGAACCTTTTGGAATTCGCCAAAACTCAGGAAGCAAGACTTCATGAAAAGCTAACACAGACAGCGAAACAACGCCAACCGGAGATCTTGAAGATGATCAGTGATACTTTGAAGGAGATGCGTGATATCGTGCCACAGATGGCGGCGCGGGATTTGAATTTCCTCCCGTTTGGTGCACCGGAAATTTCGAATGATATTTCGAATACCGGTTCACCCCTGACTTCACAACATAGGTGCAAGCCGATAGGCCCCTGTCCGATAGTTGTTCCTTCACAGGATGTCATGGGACAAAACGGGACCTCCAAAATATATTCCACATCCTCCTGTCATTCGTCCATGAGTTCTCATCCAGTGCAAGGTAACACATTGTGACCCGTAATTATTTTGCTATCTCTAACATTTTCCAAACTTGGTTTGTAAAAAATTCGTAGAATTTATATCAGCTATCAGTGTTTACGCTTGTCCGCTGTGATTAATACAACCGACCGTGGATTCATTGACCGAAGCAACACCACACACAAGGTTGCTGATAATTCTTCACATACAATGACCGCTTTCCAGTTTCATTAGGCTCATCAGGTGCACGCGTTGCCCGAGGTCCTGTAAAACTTATGTGTTACTCTCTTCTACATGATATGCTTCAACTGGTTATGATGCACAGAGAATGTCTCATGTTGCATTTGATACGATATTCGTAATATCGTACAGTCTGCTCTGAAGGCACACTGTTCAAGTTTGCCAAGGTCTCTTCGGCGGCCCACGGCCGGTTTCACCTTTCTTGGGGCGCCAGTCGCGGTCGACCATACTTTGAAGGAGATGCGTGATATCGTGCCACAGATGGCGGCGCGGGATTTGAATTTCCTCCCGTTTGGTGCACCGGGAATTTCGAATGCCGGTTCACCCCTGACTTCACAACATAGGTGCAAGACGATAGGCCCCTGTCCGATAGTTGTTCCTTCACAGGATGTCATGGGACAAAACGGGACCTCCAAAATATATTCCACATCCTCCTGTCATTCGTCCATGAGTTCTCATCCAGTGCAAGGTAACACATTGTGACCCGTAATTATTTTGCTATCTCTAACATTTTCCAAACTTGGTTTGTAAAAAATTCGTAGAATTTATATCAGCTATCAGTGTTTACGCTTGTCCGCTGTGATTAATACAACCGACCGTGGATTCATTGACCGAAGCAACACCACACACAAGGTTGCTGATAATTCTTCACATACAATGACCGCTTTCCAGTTTCATTAGGCTCATCAGGTGCACGCGTTGCCCGAGGTCCTGTAAAACTTATGTGTTACTCTCTTCTACATGATATGCTTCAACTGGTTATGATGCACAGAGAATGTCTCATGTTGCATTTGATACGATATTCGTAATATCGTACAGTCTCCTCTGAAGGCACACTGTTCAAGTTTGCCAAGGTCTCTTCGGCGGCCCACGGCCGGTTTCACCTTTCTTGGGGCGCCAGTCGCGGTCGACCTTACGTCCCGTTCCAATTTTCCTGAATTTGCTCCTGAACATTCTACAAATTTATGTGCGTTTAAACCCATTTTCCGAGCAAGCTGTATGTTCTTTCACTTGTGGGCTGATGCCTAGCTTCAATTTTGTTAAGGAAATTACTCATTTGAGGACGATATTCTAGCTCGTTTTGGCAAGTGAAACTGTTATTTCTGCTGATTCGCCAATCTGTGGTATCTGCTGCTGACCCGCTCCAGTGCCTAATGCCTGAACAAAAGACTCACAAAAGAGAACACAGCTGTATTCCGAACAAGCGAGTGCGAGAGCGTGAGTCCTGTCAGTGCGAAAGCACAACAGTCTCAAGCCATTTGTTGGAGGGTCACTGTCTGAACTTGGTCCAACGCTGTTCAACGCGGTCTGGTCTTGGAACGAGGCTGCGACGCGCTGCATATTGCGGGGGCGATGTCAACGCTGACTCTCGCTGTCTGGGTTTGATACAAGGCTATGACGCACTGCATATCGAGGGGTCGTTGTCTCTCTGGTCAATATCTAGCGGAGCTGAGAGTCTCAGTAGATTGCAGGCATTCTGTAGTTGCTTTCAAGAATCTGACCTTCTTGATAGAAACTGAGCAGCAAAGTCATTTCTTCGAAACACAAGCCACCTTAATCGTATCACTCGAGGCAAGGGTTTACCGTCCCGTACTACTCCCCTCCACGTGAGCAACGAAATTGCGTGCTTTCGTTGGGTCAACGTGGGCCTGCACATCAATCTTCAGTCCCTCTCCGTGATCAACCCAATAACATCTATATTCCCTTCAGTTAAATGTCTAAGCGCTACTTTTGTTTGCAACTTCCCTGGCCTAATTCGTGTTCTATGCTTGTCTTGAGGTTGAAAGGCGTTTATTATTCCAACTGCGACAAGTCCACGAGATTTTGTTTGAAAAGCTATTTAGTGCTCTCTGCTCCCCTTAATAACGTTCAAGCTATACAAACTTAGCGGGGTGGCCTATATGAAGCAGCCTTTGAAAGTCCGTGGGAGATGTCATTCATGATCATCGCCATGACAGGAAGATCAGCATGTACTTTTTCTGAGTGTTCAACACACGTACTGGATTTCGATACCAAACGTCGTATCCTCTCGGAAGCTGGGTCTTTCCCAACCATAGGGTCCATTGTACGTTAACACATACCAGAAAGCCATAAAAATGGACAACGCTAGTTTATTTGGGAACTCTCGGAAATTCATTCACAGCATAGACAAAACGGAACCGAAATAGAATGATCATTAGTGGGACAACCGAAGAGAATATCAGAAACTTAACATGAAATAGTGCCTTGATTCCTGGGCTCAATATATTCAAAGACGGTTAAGCTGGACATCTGACTTCCATATGACGCATGTTCTTTGAGTTCGACGCAGCCGAATGACCGCGGAGACAAGTGAGCTTCCACCGCTACTATGGGATGTTCGCTGTCCTTGAATACTGGGATATATGCTCGAAAACTGAGGTCTACTAAATTTTGTAACTTTATTCGAAAAGGGTACCCAAAAAAACCATTGGGGCATAACTCTCAACTTGGTCGTAAAGTGACTTTTCTCTTCAATATTACCGCGATTCTCAGTTTAATTATTCGGAATTCAAGTCCGACAACATCGTACAGGAATGCACTGGCTGGAATTAGCGCAGACTTCATCCTACGGTTCGCTAGGTGTTTCAGGAGCGTTAACTCACATAATCGAACGACGGCATCGATTTTTTTTTACTTCAAAGTAAGCCCCGACTCGGATGATAGACTGCATATACATTTCCATGGGGATGTCTTTGACGTCCATGGCTATTCTTCTGACGTTTCCACTCCACTGTCTTCGGAGTTTGGGCCCACAGGGCCTTTGGGTTTTCAGAGGTTTTTAACTACTCGTTATTAGTTAGTAATGAAATGAAAGTGCTGCTGCTGCCGAACCACCGACAGGAATTCGCAGTCTATCTCTGTCGAACACTTTTCAAAGTATTGGAATGACAATCCGTAGATATATTATTTTGTATTATATATTATGTAGTATATATACATGTGTTTCATTTTGACTGGAAAACTGTGGTTTCCACCTACTATTGAAGATGCTCCCTTCGTGGACCCCACGAAGCGTTTCGCGGGAGTGGGAATTTATGTGGGAAAAAACGAAGATAATTCAAAGCACATTGTGACTAATGGGAAAACGAGCCTCAAACGTAACTGGACTACACAACTGCCAATGCCAAAACCGTTCTCGTTCAGACAGATTTCATTGGTTGTTCTTCACTTGCCC